TGTTCGTGAATTGAACTAGAAACTCGGAGATTTTTCCAATTTAATTCAGTCTCATTTGGAGAAATGGATGGACCAATGCACCCATAATTCATTTAAAATAAAGTCCCTGTCAACCTGAAGTCCTTATTAGAGGCGCCTCCTCGATGTTCAGATCCACCTCTTACAAATCTGCCCAAAACTTCTTGCGTTCGTGTACCATTTCTTGATAGCAACTATTTGCAAATATTTTTAATCCGCAATAATAATGACATTGACACGAACCCTGTCTTTAATTGTTGTGAAGTCATTGCAGCGTTCAAGGCTCACACAAACCTGCCAGTTTTGCCGTTCAGTGGTACTCGACGTATTAGTTTCATCAAACAAAATACTAGAAAATGACCGTCACTTCAACCTCATAGGTCGTAGGTCTACTCGATCGCTTTTGGTGTGTCCCTCTTTCCACCTCCTCCGTCTTTTTTCTCACAGTCTGCCTTGATGTCGAATGAAAATTTCGTGGATCGATTTTACTCCTGAGCTTTTCAATTACTTAATATCGTTTTGGGAGTATCATAGGTTTATTGAAAATAGAAAAGAACATCCCCTCCACATACCTTGTTTATAGTTAGATAAGTTTCCACTTTGAATTGTAACGTTTCAAAATGTTAAATTCGCATCGATGCCGAGGCGGTCTTAAGGGAGACTGTCAGATATTTTGTTATCGAAGTGGTAAGTTGTCGCGCATCAATTCATCCCAATGGAATCAGTCTATTTGGTTGTATGTTTGTAGTCTACGCGGGAACATAACTCCCATTTCAAAATGTTTGCTTGACATTTCCTCGTTGATCTACTAAAGGGTTTAGATTGAATCTTCTCGTGGTTATAAAAACATTCGAAATAGTGACAATAAGGTGGAAAATGATTTTTACCGCTTTCTTTCAAGAGATCTACTTTAATTCTTGTGAAACCTCTTGGGAAATTATCAACGGTACAAGAATAGTTCCGTTTTAGAACCCCTAAAAATGAAAGACCGCAACGAGAATCGAGTTAAACATTGATTTTTTGTCGAGTGATTTTATATTATTTTTCATATCCGGGGTGTGCGTTAGACTTACCTCCTCATGTTGCACCCTGGGCAACGTATACGCATACGGCAAAAAAGACTATTAACTGGCAGTTGACTTCTGACTTCTAACTGCCATGACTCCACTGTGTGTCATAGTCCACCACTTCTACAGTACAGTCTGTCTCTTTTACATCTACAAATCACTCTTCGGTCTCTCCTAAATTTTTCTCACTTTGATGTACCTCCCCTCTGTTAATTTCGAAGTCAGCTAAGGGCTATAGATAACTATCAAAACGCCTGCCATTTGAAATAAATAAATAATAATATCTATCAAAACGCCTGCCATTTGAAATAAATAAATCATCAAAACGCCTGCCATTTGAAATAAATAAATATTTCATAACCTATTTATTGAAACTAAGAAAATCAGTTTCTCAATTATCCTTCAATTAGGACGGCTTATTTTGGTTGATATACGTTGATCTGTAGATGTTTGCTTCTAGAAAATTTCGAACAAGCAAACATACGTGTATAGGAACTTAACACAAGAAGCCTCGTAGCTGCAGTGATTAGGCCTTGTCACGTGATAATTAATTCTTGCCATACTGTGAATGTATGTCCTTTCTATCAGCTTGACAGTTATTCAGAACTAAATATTTGCCATTCTGGCTGCGGTTTGGCCTCCTGACATCAACAATAAGGAAAGCGTTGCATTTCGTTGTTTAATTAATGATGTGTCTCTTCACAGACGAAGTTAATTGGGGTCTAGTGATATTTAGTAGGGAACAAAAATAGCGTGCATACATTGCAAATGATTTGGGCTATACATTTTTGAAATTTGAGTACTCTGTTCAAAAAATATAACTTTGTCCACATGAGATGATTATATCTTCTTGTGTTAACTAAATCCCCAATTTAGACCCAATTTAATACCAGACCTAAGGCGTACAAATTGAAAGTCTGAAGAGTAACTGAATACAGTGCCTACTTACATGGGAATGTCCCATGTCTATGTCCCATGGAGCTTATTTTAACAAGTAGTTCACAAACAAAACGGTGAGAAATCGGAAAGAGAAAAAATGTGCATTTCGAATGCCTAGTGTTTTATTCATTGCTCTATTCGTTAGCTTTATATTTAAGGTAGTTAAGATCAGTGGGTTGGGTTGTGGATATGTTCGTGTGGAGCACACAACGTTGTCGCCGCTGGACAAGTCATCTCATGCGCGCCCAGACAGGCTTGAAGGTGTGGGTGCAACTTCGCGGATGGAGTAAGTGCAATAGAGAGCGTAGTGAGCTCACAACCAACCGATACTCATTAGTCCTCGCTTGGTTAATCAAATCCGCAATATTGATATAATGACTAAGATCCTTGTCTGCACACCACACCACACACACCCCAAATAAACGTGTTACTTGTGATGTGTTTGTTACTCCTAGAACTTTGCTCTGGGAGTCTTTCCAAACATGAGCGAATCTGCCATAGTCACTTCTGAGTACAGTCAAGACTTATTAGCGTAGCAATCCACTATGTTAGTAAGACCGTTGATTGAACAAATGCCAGTTGCCTTTAACAGAGATCTACAAGTACTTCCACTTTTGTAATCACTTACGAAACAAAATCACACAATTAGAATACAGGAGTATTAGTAGATTTTAATCTTAGACTGAAAAAATTAAAAGATGATAATCCACTCACATTGTTAAGACAGTTCGGATTTAAGAGTTTTTCCGATTTTTTAAAACGTCAATTTACAGTCAAAAGCATTGATTTCTCAATATGTCCAACAATTATTTGCTTTTAACGCCATTTCCATTTCAATGCCTGGGCCTTATGAATTTCAATCCAAATCATTTGGACTCATTCCATGCAGGCAAATAATAAACAATGATATATGAAGTTGGTTTAAAGCCTTCGCTATATTTAGGCATTTGACAGGCGAATTTTCACCAAAACTTTATGAACTTCACTCAACCGGTGATATCGCGTGCCACAGTATTTGTCACAAGTTGTAAAGTGGAGCCACAAAGGTTTCAATAAGCCGTGGGTGTATGTCTAATTGTAATACTTATTTTAAGTAAGCGTTATTCTTTAGCTATAATCTGTTTCAACATAAAAGTACTTAAAAGTAGGATTTCTCATGATTGATATAAGCAGCATTCAAAGCGTACCCTAATTAAGTTCCACGTACATTTCAAAATGTGGAACTATGGAACCTCTATTTGTTGTGGCACATGACTTGGCCCTCCTACTACTAAATTGGATAATAAATAATATTCAATTCCCAAGCACCCTAGAGTCAATTATCCACAGATCCTAGCTGAAGCAAGAGATCGAAGATCCACATTGGGATAATATAAGATTGGGACTGTTTTACGGTAAGCTCGAAAGGTTTCCTGGGGAGTATTCTCCAGTCAAGATCCAAAACTCGCAAACGTTATAAATTAAAATATCGCCACTTCGCGTATTCTCATACAACTTGCACTTGAATCAAGGCCTACTTTATCAGCGCCGCTTCATCAGAGTGCCTCCAATTCCTGAGTCACGTTTAGGGCTAAGAAACAGATTTTAGAAATCTTGGAAAAGATCAAAGCAAAAGTCCCTAATTGGTCAATAATGAGTTCAAAAACGTTTTGAAAATACACTGTGTTGGGTTCGATCGATCATTAACCATTGTTAAAAGTCCTTATCTTTAGTTTCTTAAGTCTCCTTCGAACGGCCTCCTTAGTTGTTAAAATGACTAAAACGCAATCTTTAAGCGTATCTTTTCGTTCCTTAGAGAAATTCACCAAAGCAACGCTTTTCCTCAATGCGAGTTTTGCAGTAAAGTTTCAGGCGGTTCTTTTAATCAGGTTCATTTACCAGATTCTGGTATTGCTGGGTAGTTGAAAACGATTTACTCAACTAAAACTGCAAAGTTTCATTTCCCACTTTCGAGAAAGAAGGGAACTAAACTCTCATTCTATTGTGACTGAAAGATATCACCTTCAGAAGAAACTCATCCCCTCCACTAGTTAACCCTTATTGGGAAGCACCATTTTCTGAACTCAATGCGATTTGGTATTGCTATCTGATAGATAGTTGGTGTGACAATTGCCAATCTTAAATCAAACTTCAACTTAACTACTTAGGCAAAAAAGTAACCATTTGTTTTCACACGGTAATTATGAGGGAAGCGATTTTCTATGGTGTGCATGAAGAATCATGCTTAAAACAGGCCTCTAGATTCATGAGGCTCAGAAATTCTATTGACAGCCTCAAAACTATATTTAAATCACATTTTTGATAATAATTAAAAATTAAAATTGAAATGTTCCTACCCAAACATCACCATTGGGGTTCTTACCACTGGTGTTGATGAAAACAAGAGCAGTAAACAGACTAATAAATCCAGTCTTAGCATAAATAACTGATAAAAAGTGCATAAAATATATGATCTTTAGAAAAACCGATAATGTATTCGCTAATACTCTCTCAACACAATAAATCCTGCGACAGTTAGTAGTCTAAAGATAAACACTTACCAAAAAATCGATGATTTTGCAACCAAATCTGGATCAATAACAATTTGCGACAAAGGTGCTAAGTCTACCATGATTTAAATGTCTTCGCACTTTCAATAAAAAAGCTAGAATCACTTCTGTTTCCTTGTGAATCCTGATCAGCCATAACAGTTAGGAGGGTGGGAAAAACTTTCGGCATTGTATTTATCCCCTTTCTAAGCATGTGACTACGCAACAAGTCTCAGTGAAGAACAAGGAAAGTGCATTCCATTGAAATAACCCACATCCGTAAAACAATACGTAGGTACACAAATAACAAATTCAGGAAATTAAATCGTTATAATTGCTTTACTATTATTTAGTAAATGAAGAAAATTGACATGACGAATAAGCTACTAAGAAACCGCAAATTCGACTTGAACCTGAGGCGCAGTATCGGGAGGTAAAAATCTTCATACTAAGGATAGCTTCTTGGTTCGATAAAATTATCCCACTCAGCTTTGTCTTGAACTTCTTTCTCTACAACTTTAATATAAGGATCCAGATAGGGAACATCGTCCTCCATTTTGGTCCATTCTTCCTTGGGAAGAATAGTCTTGTTGGCTGAAAGAAGGAAAGCACGAGCAAGTCGGAAATCTTGAGCTTCACGTTCTTCGCGCGGAAGACGTCTGAAGGCTTCTTTGGCGATGGCGTTTTGTGGCATAATATCGTGCCAAAGGAGACCAATTTGGTTGTAGTACCCAGTTTTAAAAGTAAAGTCATTCATCGCCTTCTTGATGGGTGAAAGTTGAGCTATTTTAATCTTCCAGGCTTCTGACACCTTAGCAACAGCAGATCTGAGATTTGCCATATTCAATCTAAACAATATATAACAATATGTATATATTACGAAGTTCCAATAAAGCACCACTTATGTGCAAAAGAAAGCCTAAGTGCTGTAAGATACAATTGTGTGTAAATTATGTTAAATATGGAAAATATGATGAAATTTTGCGCAATATTTCTCCAAACTTAGCTAATTAATCAAAACAAGTAAAGTAAGGCTTACAACGGAAAGTCGCCCTGATAAACACTTCACCAAATAAGATGACAATCGTGGCCAATCAGTATTCCCGTTAGTGTTTGCTTAAGGTCAAATTGGAATTACAGTGGGTTTAAAATACTTTGAAATATAATTAATTTAAAAAATGCATTATGTTTCACTATCCCACAAATCCAAGAAAAATTAAAGCAAAGAGCACGATCTAAAAAATCCTGAAACTTTTTTATTCCAATATTTGTCTCTAATGTACAACAGAAATAAGATTCTTCATCAGATAACCTAATCTGTCTCTTAAGCTCCCCTAAATTCTCCCGAGAACTAAAAATAACTCCTTTGTAGGTTGGAAATACAAAGGACACACATTTTAAAGGACCCTGACTATAAAAAATTTCTCGAGCTCTGTTTAGTCTAGACAATGTGTATGCGACAGAAAGCTTTTTTGATAAATCACATCTGTTTAAGTCTAGTATAATTTATCTATGATCTTTCTTATTATCAATCTGTCTATTAAAGCAAAGTTGATTCCAACAAATTTCATAAAAGATATTTGATCTTCCAGAAAACATTTAATTTCTTATACCATATATATGTATATATGACTCCCGTTTAGCTTTCGGTCTTTTTATATGCAATAAGCAGTGCGTTAGTTACGAAGATGCGGGAAAGCCATAATAGACCAAAAATGTATCCATAAATCCGGAATTCATTCGCCAATTTCAACACTACATCTGTTTGCTTTGATGTTGATATCAAGTTGCAATTCGGGCCTGTAATTTAGATAATTATTGCATCAATGCTTCTGGTTAAGTTATTTCATTTTATGCATCATGTAATATAACTGATGCTAGCGTAAACCCGTATTAATGTAAGTCATTGTGCTTCTAAAAGCCAAATGAGTAATGAAGGCCGAATCCCCCGATATTAACAAGCTACTATTTGTGACTATTGATATTGAGAACCATAAGATTGGAAATTATGGGTTATAATCAAGAGCACCTTGAAAGGGCGGTTCAGCTATTAGCACAGTAATTATAATTAAGTGCCCTAAGGCGTGCATTATATCTCATTATTCCTATTGAGACATCTACTCAAACAATCTGTATATATATATATATATATATATATATATATATAAATCATCCATAATGTAGAGGGGTTTGGGTATACAACCAAATGAGTAGAATGAAGCTTCTACTTATATAAAAGTTTTCGGTATTAATTTAAGCTGACATTACATTATATGTAATGCTAACTAAATGGGGTTTCGTTTGCTTTTAAAAATATGAATGATAAAATGTGTATATAGCAGATTGGAGCAATTATTTATTAACAAATTACACTGCTTATGTGGGCAATCGGGGAAATATTGGTGAAACTACAAAAGCAAAGGGGATAATTTTACATTATTGTACTATTTAAATTCTTTTCATAAAATGCTCATATTGATTGAGAGTAGATTAAAATGCAAAGGAATGGAAGCGAATCCCTATGCTTTGAATTGCAATAATATCACTAGACATATTCTCGTTACTTCCAACATATGTAAAATGGTTAATAATTGAGCATGATTTTAATAATATAAAATGCTTAAGGTAGGTAAAATTTACCGCTTGCATCATTCTTAATTAACTTGGTAGATTCACTTTCATTTGCTAAATATATATTGCCAAATATATTTTGATAGAAATTTTGTCAAAAAATAATAATACTTTCCATACAATTTAAATATGATGTTTACTAAAGTGAGTAATATGGAATTCATGTTACTTAACATTTTGCTATTTTTTCTGATTATTTTTTATCTATTTTATAGTGGTCAACTTGAAAGTCGTTGGCCATCAGCAAGTATCAGCTGTTGACATTAGGCGCCGCTTTGTCTCATAGAATGGACCATTGTTGTAATGGTGGATGCCATCCACTTGCCCAATCTCTTCAAGAAATGGAGTTTGAAAGAGGGATCTGGGGTTGTGCTATAAACAATCAAAAGGAACGCCTGTTCCGCTTGATCGAACAGGGTACTGACGTTAATGCTCAAGATAAATATGGCTTCACTGCACTCGTGAGTTGTATATATGAGCTCTTACTAAACTTTCTAGCACTACGCTGCTCGGAATGGGAATCGAGAGATATGTGTTATGCTACTTAAATTTGGAGCTGATATTTCAGTGCCAACACGAAATGGCGGATCGACCCCATTACACAGGGCAGCTTTCATGGGCCACCTAGATATCGTCAAGCTTATGTGTTCTTATGCAGACGTCGAAGTAATCGGCCTACCAGACGCCGACGGGCAAACTTGCTTGCATTCGGTAGTTAATTGCATTTTTTATTACTGTTTTAATTAATTAGGCAGCCCGCGGAAAACAAAGTTCAACATTCCAGTGGCTCTTAAATGAGTATCCAGAATTGCTCTCGATTCGAGACAACTACGGCAAGACTGCGGATGAGCTGAAGTAGCTATTATGTAAATCTAGCTGAACTGTACATTTTGTATTAATATGCTATGCCTGCACATCCTGATTCTTGGGTTTACTCTGTATGTATTGCTCTCATACTCATACTTCTACTCCTTAATGAACAAGTAGTATGAGATCGGTCAGAATTAGTACTCCCACCTTTCATTCATTATTTTGTAACACAAGTTTGTCAAATCTACCTCCTCGACGATTTATTCACTATAGGCAGTGGTTTCGTGTTGGATTAGCTCTAGGATCGAAAAGTTAACCTAATTAGGCTGTTCGCCTAAAGGAATTAGCTTCACCATGGCTTAATTTTTGATTGCACCAATTTAATTATTCATTTTTTACATTCTCCGTTTTAGAGCTATTTTGCATACTATGCTTGCTAAACACCCAGGAACGTGAATTAATGAATCTCCGTAATCAGTCGCATAGGATAAATGGAATTACTCAGCAATAGAAAGTGGGAGCCCATTAGCAGCATTGTTGAGTGTGCACAAGAATGTCACAGTCATTGCACTTATATCCTTGGCGTGACCAAAATAGGCGTTCAACCAAGGAGAATGATCTTCTGAACAAGGCAGAGTACTATGCAAATAAAAAATAAGAAGGTTTTTCGTCGAAGGAAGCGGCTTCAGAGTGTATTCATTTAAGAATAGTGATAAACCATAAAAAGGGGGCAAGAGCATTGAACATCTGACAAATAGTGATAAAAGACCTCAAAAGGAATCAACCGAAATAGCTAATACGTTAGAAGGGGTTTTGAAACTCATATAGCAAGACCAAATACCGTGACAATAAAATACATCGATTTATTCTCCCACTTCACTGTACAACTTCCTAAAAGAGACACACAATAACTCCAAGAATAAGATAGAAGTTACCATAAGAAATTTACAGTTTATAGAATTCAAATCACTTACCGTCAGTCGAGTTATCCCAGTAACAAGAACTGGCTGTATGCAATCCAGCACCACATTTCTGCATTATTACACAGGTTACTGAAATATTTTATAAAAATTAACTTAACATATACCAATGTATTTGAATGGCTTTCCCAACTTTGTTAATTGGTTTAAGATTTGTTCAACAATTGTAGAAGTCCATTGAGGAACTTTGGTGTGAACGTAGGAGCTATTTCCAACATTGTTTTCGATGCTTTCCTTGACAATATTAGTGACTTCATCAACAACAAAAGTTGTCTAAAATGAAATTAACATTAATTTACAAAAATACCTCTTCTGAGACAGGATCCTCCATTGTGTACACTTATAACTCTAGATACAGAATTCAAACCCGGCACCGGGTTCAACAAATAGTATAAGTAGAACCCCAATTTATTTTCTTAACTAATGTACAAATAAAATGAACTAAATATGAAATATATAAACAAACGCTAACATTGCTTCAATGTTTCCATTCATCCCAATATTTTAAATTATTTGAAATATTTCCCATACTTCTTGCGTATAAGCGCTTATGCCTGTGAACAAAGTTGAATTCGGCATATCGATGCCATTTGGCAAACATTCGTGTATTTCTAACTCCTATTCTTTTTCGTTGATTTTCAGGTATGTCATTAAATTGAATGCTCAATAATAGCTTTTAGAAAAAATCAAGATAAATGATTTTGTTTACTAGCATGCTCTTCACTACTTCGTAATTATCAGGAGTAAAATTGCGATTGACATATAACAGAATGAAAATAAAATTCAGAGGTTGTATTTTATTTACGAGTTCTAAGATTTTCTTTCATTCTTGCATTCACTTTATGGGTAAATATAAATGAGAATAATATATCTACTGCCAGTTATTACTTATACCAATTTTGAAACAAAATTCCCCCACTTTAATGCCTTTCGCATTTAAAGAAACATTTAATAAGTTAAAGCATCGAAGATGAAATATGAATATGGTTAATAAATCAAATAAGGGAATTATATGACTTCGTGATGCAGAGCTAAATACACATTTTGGGTAACTTTCAAAAACCGCATATTGTAAAATATTGTGCATCTTAATTCCATATTTGTTTCCCTTCGAAAAGAGGCTGAAATATCTCAGGCACTCATTTTATATTTTTCCATCCATTTACCGATAGCAAAATTTGCTTTAATCTTATTGATAGATAGTATTCCCAGGGAATTTCGAACGCATATAATGTAAAATGATGTGTATATAATTCTAGGAATATTAAAATTAAGTGACGAGATTATTCACTTTCGGCTCACCCTTCTCTCGCGTTCACTTAGGAACCGGCTCTCCGCACCTCTTTTGGAGGCCTTATGAAGAACTTCGAAGCTGACATCTCCGCCATACCTACTGCCGTTTAGAGCGTACATCACCTCAAGTTAGATCTGATGAAATTTTCTTGGTAAATCTTTATTTCGATTCATATACATTTTCGTTGGTAGAACTTTCATTGGTTGCTTTATTTCAATCTTATTGGCTTATCTGCTGCACCGTGGGAATTATGTATGGACCTAAATTAAATTACAATATAATTTACTTCTTTTTGATTAAATAGCCCAGTTATGTTTCCTTGATAGTTAAACCATCTGCCTTTTATATGGAATTAACATTAATGGCTGCACTATTTGTTTACAAGCTACTTTCCCGGGAGTTTGTTCACTACCTGTTTCGCATTCTTTCGTTTTTATTTTTACTGAGAGTGTTTAACAAGGATAATGTATGCACATCTATTTAATTGGAGTCTGAATTTCTGTCTATTGGCTTTAGTGGTTTAAGTAGCAAATGAAACTCGCAGTTAGTGTATTTGGACAAATGCAATAACTAAGCTATGTGTTAAATTATTAATCATATCTACTTTCTAACTAGCTTTGATTAAGGAATTCCTACAGTCTTAAAATAGAGAATAGATCCGCAGTGATTACATTTGTCTGGAGATAATAAGTTCCTTCAAGTGGTCTCAAAGCCTCTCATCAACCTTAACAAAATTTTTGCAGGGTCGAAGTTGTTTTGACAGTTACCTATCATCAGTCCGGCTGTGTTTCACTCTCTGAACATAAAAATGCCTCTATAATGCGTTTCCTTGATTAACAAGATATCTTGAATCAGTGATATACTGCCTTAGTTCTTTCTCTCTACTATGAGTCGTCCTGACGTTTAATTTTATTAAAAGGGCAGTCGAATCATATCAACTGATATAGGTCTCAAAACTGTACATAAACCGGAAAGCTGAATAGGTACAGAAGTCACCTTTTTGACCAAAAAAGATTCATCTTGAAAATTGACCCAGTCTTCTCCAAAAAAACTTGGATGTTTAAGTAATCTACTTCTCATGAGAACTTCCCATTATAGACTAAAAACATTTGTCTCTGAGTCATGTTTATTTACTTTAATGCATTGTAGGCGCATCTTTCTCGCTTACATGATAAATATTTAGTCACACTTTAACTTACTACAGTAGCTCTTGTGTGAAATTGATCACCCTTGAACCTATAGTGCCTCTTTAAGTCGTAAAGGTGGGGAAGTCGAATCATCGCTGGGTTCGAGATTATGGCCTTGGGGTTGGGCAGCAATATCGCGTACTCTCAAACGCCCACGCCTTTAAAAGTTTCCAAATAATCGTGTATCTTTAACTTGGCAGCTATTCCCATTGACTACTGCTTCGCCGATTCATAATTACATCGTTTCATCCATTTATTTCTTACTTAACACCTTTTTCGATGACTTTTAAAAGTCTGGTCAACTTCAAGTTTCGAATATTTCGAGATTAGATCTTTCCTAAGTGTATTTTTTCCGTAAGAGGATTTATCTTTGTTTTGTGGAATCCACTTCGAAAAAAGAGGGTGATAAGACATGGTCACCTAATAAAACTCGAAATTTCACACCTCTAACTCAGTTATGAGATTTCTTAAGTCTCTCTTCAACTTTACTGAAGGGAGGTCAGCGGCAGGTGAAAAGCCTGAGAAAATGTAAGCACTGAGAAATCGATTTCCAGTATGACCATACAATCTAAATAATTTTTTCTGAAAAATTCTACGTTGTTTAATCTTAAATAAAATTATCCATTGGTCTTTAATTTCCCAGGAAGAGTAAAATCATGTCATCATTGAATCATTATTCCAAATCCACTGTCCAAGTTTTTGTAAAGATGAATTGAAAATTCTCCCTGATTTCGACTTCATTCTCTAGATTAATATTTGTTAATGCAAATAGTATTCGGTATACATAGGTGGTTCCCGAATTCAGCAGTTTCCCTCACTAGAAACACACTTGCGTTTCAATTGTGTGAAGATCCGCATTAAAATTGTTATGCTGATAAGATTTCCCCTTTATCTCAAAACCTTCTTTCAGTTGTAAGATTAGCTCGTTTAAATCGCGTAATTTCAAATAAATCCTTGATATAACGAGCATGCACTTGAAGAGACTTAAGACTTCTTCAACAGAAACAATTTCAGCTTGAAATATTCAATAAAAGGCTCTATCAAGTACTTCATTTCATTTCCTTTTTGTCCATGCAATTGGGAAAAAACATATGCTTGGTTTCTTTTATCTCTTTACTACCCCTTAATCAGGAAGATCTCCCACAAAAGATGCATTTCCGATTCAAATAAATTACTACTACATGTTACCTTCTATTAATAATTTAAAGTTGTTATTTTTGTCATTAATAATAATTGAAATATCTTAGCTTTCAGAGTTGGCTCACTGAGTTGACTCTCTTAATGACTAAAGTCCCCTCAAGGTAGACTATAGTGCAAAAAACATTTAGATTGAATAATTTATTGTCATTTCAGCCATTTATTCACTTTGAGGGCAATAAAATACTATCGATAATTCGAAATGAGTTGATCCATACTTATCGCGTGTATAAAATCGGTGATCCGTAACTACAATAATCTCATAAATTAAATGAATTGCGTGTTTGGATATTGTGAATGAAGGGCATGAAGACCTGTGTACATGGTGATAATTCTATTGTAACACCTAATTACATTAACAGTATCTGTTGTACACAGCTTACGCATCATTCTAGGTATCGCCTTTGGGAAATTTCGAATGAAATATCGTGCGCAGTTGGAATCACGTTTGTTACCGATAAACAACCTACGTTAGATTCGTTTATCAGAATTTATTGTCAGTCATTTTGTGGAACATAATACGTGACAGGTTTAGAACATTCTCTCGGTCTTTTATAATTTCGCATGAGTACGTATTGTTATCAATAAGCGTCCGATGAGCCCTTTCCAAAAAGAAAACTAAATTGATTTTCCACAATAATACAAATAAATACGAAACTTCATGCTTTTTTAAAATAATCTTCGAAAGCATAGACTTTACCTAACCTAAAATTAATTGAAAATTTCTAGTAATCCCATCGTATTTGTCTTATATGCAGTCTTGACTCATGCTTAGTAATCTCTATGGCACATTCCCCTCAACAATACAGAGGAAATAGACATACGGCATGGAACACGTCTCTGACACGGAGCTTGGTAATTAAATACAACGTTGTCTACTTTAACCATGTCGTGACTCTTGATTGTTGATTATCCAAGAGGTGTCTGTGCTCATAATCGCACACACCCCTGATGCGATCAACAGAATGCTGCACTTTGTGTCCACGGTATGAGTAGCGCGACGCTCGTTTCAGAACGTTCTAACACATGTAGTTCTTTTGTCCAGCCATGTTAGCGTTGTGTCTTCCGCAGAAGTCTCCCCCACCCACGTCCCTAGTCTAACCTTAAGATCACCTAAGAGGCTAATAGGAAGCGAAAGGAGGAAAACATGGAATAACCCGATGAATAAAATTGATTTGGTCCATGGAGTAATGAGGAGGTAGAAAGAAGAACTATTTGTGAGAAGTGGAGTCGGCCTTCGCGTTTAAACAGCATGGGTGAACAGGGAATTATAAAACGGTGACAAATTGAGACAATTAGAATGATGGATCTATGAGACATCATTGGTGCACTTCAAGGCGTATATTTTAACACTGTACAATTATTTACAGAATTGGAATTATAAAAGAAGTTATTTGAAGTGGTTGATCGATCACCTGAATTATAAAGCTCTGGACAAAACAAACAAGAATTAACTCGGGAAATTGGTAACAGATCTTGAAAATTTATCATTTGAACATTTTAGTTTCTAATGGCAGGCTTTAGGATATCTATCATTAGCGCTTAAACGATGACTTCAGCTTCCCCCAAGGGTGGGGGGTAACATTTATAGCAGTTAATTAATAGCAGTTCATTAACTGTCTTCTTGCCTCCCAGTATCTCTGGCTTTCTACCTCCCAGTATCTCTGGCTTTCCGTCGTTGTCTTTAGGGCTGACACCGAATCAGGTGGGTCTTCTCCATTTCCTCGTAGGTTAATAGAGGGCATGTGGGTTGAGTATATACTCAAAATCTGTGAAGGCGTTTTGCCAAGCAATCGTGTCCGGTACCTATCTGTGAAGGTGTTTTGTCAAGCAATCGTGTCCGGTACGAATCTGTGCAGAGGGCATGTGGGTTGAGTGTATACTCCCAGTCTGTGAAAATGTTTTGCCAAGCAATCGTGTCCGGTACGTAGTTGTGAGGGTTTTTTGCCAAGCAATCGTGTCCGGTACGTAGTCTAAACAACAGCACGATTCTTGGCCAGTCGGCTATGTCGGAACGTGCCACTGTCCACTGTTTCTCCTTTTCTCGAGCTTTAAGTTCGTTGCACCTTGAGGTCTGGAATTCTCTTCTGAT